GCTCGGGTCCTGCCGCTCGGCGCGGTGGCTTCCCTTCTGCGCTCAGCATGGACGGTGTGGGCTGCATTATTGATAACACCGTGATTTATTTATGCTTCCTTGACTATAGCAAACAGCTCAGCCTTTCTGAGCTAAATATAGTTTGCACTGGGAGCGTGTCCCTGTCCTGTGTGGGATGGAGGTGGCCAGCGGTGCGCCTGCTTTTTGGCCCAGCTGAGAGATTCAGGGATGTCTCCTGGAGACCTCGCATGGCCCGGAGGGTCCCACGGGCAGGAGCGGGGGCTGGGCACCTCTGGAGGGGCTCCGGTGCGTGCTGTGGGGCTCAGTGCTCGTGCCTGGGAGCCCGGCGTGCTTCCTGCGCGGTGAGGGAGCCGGAGCAGCAGCTGGGACACCGGGGATGCTCGGAGCCGACATCTGGGCTGCCAGATGTGCCCCTTCATGGGGCAGGACAGATGTGTGCTGGGGCACAGCTCCTCGCTGGTTCCTTTGGCCCAGCGTGGCGGGGGTGTGTGTGGGGGTGTGTGGGGGTACATGTGTGTGGTGTGGGAGGGCATAGTGCCCCGGTCCCGCCTGGCTGCCACGCTGATGCACGCGCTGCCCCTGGGTTTACAGGGAGCGCTGAGCAGCTCTGAGAGCGCTGTTTACTATTTCATTGAGGAAATAGTACGCGTTTTAAGCTGCCATCAATATTCACGTGGTGGGCTGTGACATCTCTGAAGGGATGCCCCCGGCGCGGGCTGGTGTGTGAAAATCCCCCCATCCGAGGAAGCCTCTCGCAGAGCAGATTCTGCCGACAGCCCCTCCGGAGCGCCGGAGATTGCCTAAATACAGCTTTACGCGAGGGAGCCAGCGCATTCTTGTCACATCAGCTCCTGCCCACTTGACGGAGCGACGGTTTTCTTGCACATTACGCCGTCTCGGGTTGGTGCTGGGGCTGGGAGGGCTCGGGGCTGCCTCAGCCCACGGCAGCGGTGCGGGTCCGCACAGCTCCTCCGGTCCCCACCGCACGGGCTGTACCCTGAGCCAGGTTGAGCGGGTCAGTCCCTTGTCACGGGGCGGGCAGGGACGGAGCGGGATGCCTGCATGTCCGTGCCCTCCCTGACCACGCTTCAGTCTGCTCCTGCCAAGCTGACTATCCTGCAGCGTTAATTAGGAATATTTTCTTACCTCTAAATTCTTTTCTAGCATAAAATGTGTTTTTGTCAAGATACCTTTCCTTTTTTCTGGGGAAAATGTCAACGTTTTTGGTGACATTTTCTGGTATTTTTTTTTGCAGATGGGAGAATCAAAACGGAAAATATCATTTTAAATCAGCATTTTGGAATGAAACATTTTTCATTTTGAAATGTCAGTTTAAAACAGAACAATTCGTTTTGAAATGCTTCAAAACAATAAATGCCCTTTTACCACCTCAAATCACTTTGCTTTGATTAAAAATGTCAGTGTTTTCTGTTCTAGCGCTTCATTATATGAGCATGTTTCACTGTCTCAGCCTGGTCCAGAGCAGGTGGAAATTTAGGAGATGGTTGAAAAGTAAAGATTTCTTCTCCCAGCAGCTCGGGTTTGTCCGGTGCACGGCCGCAGTCCCGCGCTGTGCTCGCTGCCCCCGTCGGCCGCGGTGGGTGCG